TTTTTTTTTTTCTGTTTAATTGATTATGCTAAATTTTGATGGTGGATATAATTATCCCTTTCTTGAGTTTTAGGCTATGGTTAAAACTAGCTTTTAAGTTAGCTTATAGCTTATAAGTGAATTTTGAGATTACAGCTTATGACTTATAGCTGAAAAACTAGCTTATATGATAAGTGATTGGTAAAATTAGCTGATAAGCTAGTTGAAATAAGCTTATTTGAAAAGCTACACAAAGAAGCTTATAAGATAAGCTCGAGCTTTTTAAAAATGCCCGTTCAATCAAATGAAGCTTATTTGAATACATGAAGTTTATAAGCTAACCAATTTAGTTGAATATAATATATTAGGATATAGAACACACCCTAGAAATCTTGTTTTAACCATAAGATGCTTCTGGTTATTCGAATTTTCTCTGAAACATTATGTGGTGCTATTTTGTGATTTGAATTTTTCCTAACTTACTTTGATTCTACACTAATCCTATTATTCTTCATCTGCAGGGTATTGGAAATGGAATACCTCTCGGTGCAGTAGTCACGACACCAAAAATTGCAAAAGTGTTAGCTCAAAGAAGCTACTTTAATACCTTTGGTGGTAATCCAGTTTGCACTGCCGCTGGACTTGCTGTTCTAAATGCTATAGAAAAAGAAGGCCTTCAGCAGAATGCATTGGAAGTCGGGTCGCACTTGAAGCAACGGCTTCTTTCTCTGAAGGAAAAATACGAGAGTATATCTTCTCTCTAAATGTCTTTAAAAACCGCATAATATTCAACTATGTACGTATATATATTGAAATGTAAAATACAAGGTTCCTTAATATTATAAATTTTGGTTTTTTTTTTTTTTTTTTTTTTTTTTGCAGTTATTGGAGATGTGAGGGGAAGAGGCCTAATGCTCGGAGTCGAGCTCGTAAAAGATCGAGAACAGAAAACTCCTGCAAATGCCGAGACTCTAAAAGTGATGGAGATGATGAAAGGTCTCGTTTTCTTGTTCTTTGCACGTAAATCAATCATTATTCGTTCTTTACCAAATTCGAGTCGTGAATAATTTCTCGTTTGTTTTTTCAGATATGGGTGTACTTATCGGAAAAGGCGGTTTCTTTGGAAATGTTTTCCGAATCACCCCACCCCTCTGCTTCACTAAACCAGATGCAGGTTTGTATTTAAATTCGAAATTTTTCTTTTTTTTTTTGCTCGATTCGAACCTCTTCTTTTGCTCGTTAACTGACGTTTTATCCGGTTTTGTGTTGTTGTAGATTTTCTGGTGGATGTGATGGACTATAGCTTGTCTAAGCTGTGAAAGTTCTTCTCAAGAATCATCATATGGGAAATGCAAAGCTATCAAAATTATTCAACAATTTGCACTACTCACAAGTGTGTAGTGGTTATATAGTTTATTTACAAGTATATTTGCCGAAAAAAAAAAGAAGCAATAAAAGCTAAGGAGATGGTGAGACATCACCTCGTTGTCTCGCTCTCCTTTTGTGTTTCTCTTTTACTTTTTGGACGAAGTTGCAATTATGTTTTGGTGTAAATATGGTTTGAACTTATCTTATGTTGTTTAAAGGATGGTCCACAATGTATTACAATTTTAGTCACTAGTTAATCTGATTAAGGGAAATGCTACAGTCTTGGAATCATTTCGTTGGGATTATGGAATTCCAAGATATAGACAACTTCTTTGATTTCTACAAAAAAAAATAAAAAAATAAACAAAATAAAAAATAAATAAAAATACACTAATAGTGTCGATTTTCCAGTGGGAAAAAGAAATTCAAGCAAAGATGGTGATGGCGTTTTACAATATGTTACTGTAACCGTTAGATCATCATGTAACCGTCGTGGATAGTTGATCTAACGGTTATATATCTTGATAGAATAACTCCGTAACAGACCGTAGAATCTCCAGTTAAACAATTAATATTTCTAATTTATTGGGTGTTGACAATTGGCAATGAGCATCCAACTACTGTTATAAAACATGCAATCACTTTTTTTTTTTTTTTTTTTTCAAACGTCAATTATATTAATAACTTAAAAGTTAAAACTCAAATAGAGTACAATCGAAGTGTCAAATGACACACTTGAACTAGAAGACTGGACCACCCCCCTTGTCACATATATACAAGAGGGTACAAACTCCATTAAGGAGGCGAACAAACACAAAACAAACTCTAAAAAAGTAAAACTAACTCCATATAAGGAGATAAAAGCAAACAAGCTGCACTAAAAGCAGACAAAGCTGCACTGAACGAAACAAAATAACAAAATAAAGACAAAAACAAACACACACCTAATAAACAAGATAGAATAAAACCTCCACTAAACCGAACAGCTGAAACCCAAGCTCACTTGAACCGTCTACCAAGTCACACCTCGACAAAGAACACCCACCGAGCAAAAAACTAGGCTCCAAACCCAAAAACTGCGGCCACTCTACCGCCTAGACGAAATTTCAGCCCAGATCTGAACCCCGCAGACCTTCACACCATACATCTATTTGAAACCAAATTTAACTGAACTTTAGGTGGGTCTTTACTATAAAAAAATAGGAATTTAGATTTCACTTCCCTTGTCAAAGTATGGAATTTAATGAAACTTTTAGCTTTTATTTTTAGAACTTTTAGTATTTAAGTTACAATTATACTCGATAACAATCATAGTAGTTATTTAGACTGTTTGACAAATTTAGTTGAAAAGTTGACTTATAACTTATAAGTTGGTTGGTGGGGTTATAAGTGAATTTCAAGTTTATACGTGACAACTTATAGTTATGGCTAAATATCTAACTTATATAATAAAATTCTGCTTATGATAAAATATTTAATTTATATGATAAAAGTGATTGATAAATTAGTAGATATAAAGTGAAAGAAAAATTTCAACGGAATTTTTGTTAAAATTACCTAAAGAAAACTTATGCGAAATAAAAATTTCAACATATTATTTTTAAAAGCTACTTGAAGAAGCTTATTTGATAAGTTTAAACTTTCAATAAATAAAAATTGTCCGAGCAAATAAAGCTTATTTGAATGGGGGAGACATATAAACTATAAGCTATAAAACTATAAGCTATAAGTGCCTAAAAAATTATTTATTTTTTAATAAACCTCATTATTCATCTACACGTATAATTTTCACTAAAGATCATTTATATTATTTCATTATAATAATTTTATGTTCCATGAAATTTTAATCATTACATTTCATCTCGTATCTATTCATAAAATCATTTTATTATTATGCTCAATTAAAATTTTTCTAAATCTTAACTTATTTTTATCCAATTAATCAAAATTAACCCGTAAAAATCAAAATAAACTTCCTCGTTACTTTTCGTCGTCCAAGTCTTTCTCATTCCTTTTACTAGTGTTGCTACCCGTGCGATGCACGAGATACAATATAAAAAAAATATTTTTATTAAATATTATTAAATTATTTAAGATAATATGTCAATTCTATTCGACACAATATATGAAGTCTGTAATAGTATAATATTTATTTAAATTCCTCACCTTCTTCAACATGGTGTCAGGATCAAATAGATTTTAGTTTATTCAGGGTTAAGTTGACTATATTTTACAAAAGTTATTAATATTTTAAATATTTCATTAAGCTAATATAATTCAAATATAATCATTTTCATTATTTTATTATATTTAAGTGTTTTTGATTGATTATCATAATCATATCTACAACCATGAGATGATAACAAAACTAATCACAATATTTTTTATAATTATAATGAGTATTTTTTTTTTTAATTATGTCATCAAAAGTATTATGAAATTGGTATTATTGATCTTACTCAAAATATATCTAATCAATCAATCATTCTATTTAACTGTGTGTGTGTGTGTGTGTTTGTTAATATGTTACTGTTGATTATTTTTTTTATATTTACCCAATCGTCAAAACAAAACTTGTACTAATACATTTATATTTTTGGGTATATTATTAAAACAATTAATTTATCTTCACATGTCATTGAGATGAAAATTTATTTCAAGCAAAAATTAGTTTAAATATTTTGAAAGTTTTACTAATACATTTATATTTTTTAGTATATTATTAAAACAATTAATTTATCTTCACGAATCTTTAGACCAAATTTTAATTAAAACAATAATTAGTTTAAATCTTCTCAAATACCTTAATGAACTAATCAATTTTAGTTTTATGTAATGTAATAAATGTCTAATAGTAATTGCCAAATTTAGCTAAAATATTTAGGCGGGAAATTTGTGACAAATATAGTAAAATTGATTGGTCCATTATATAAATATAGATTTTGTGATTATGGTGGATGGATTTATTGTAACAAATACAAAATAATAAATTAAAAATTATCCAAAACGAGTACAAATATACAACTAAAAAAAAAATAAGAACCAAGAGCGCTTGGATTAGATGACTTGGGTCTCTTCCAGCTTAACCAGTGGTCTCGTGTTCGAGCCATGGGAATGCAGCAGTGTTAAAACTCTTGAGAGAGAGTTTTGTCGCCCTTGTGGTCCTACCCGGCTCGATTCCGGATTAGCGGTTCCCCTGTGAATCTGGAAACCGTAAGGTCCGTGTACCAAAAAAAAAAATATATATATATAAATCTTTGTAGGTATTTTTTTTATTATAAAAAATTTCTATTTTTATTAAATACTACTATAATTTTGACCAAATAAACACGTCCCGATTCAATGTATTCTCCAAATCACACCTTCCTTTGACTTCCGCAGCAGATAATTATGTCTGTTATTTTTTCTTTTTCAGTGACGCTGATATACTCTACGGCTCAGCAATGGCAGAAGTAGACGATGCCTTCATCCAACCCTCCGAGCACAGGCCCGAACCCCACCGCACGATCCAAGCCCAAAACATACCATTAATCGACCTTTCGGGCCCCGCCATCTGCCCATCGGGCCTGATATCCCAGATAGGCGACGCCTGCCGCGACTGGGGATTTTTCCAGGCCATCAACCACGGCGTGCCGGCCGAGAGCCGCCGCAATGTCGAGTTGGCCGCCCGGAAATTCTTCGCCCTGCCTAAAGAGGAGAAGAATAAAGTCGCCCGGGATAGGGCAAACCCGTTTGGGTATTATGACAGCGAGCACACTAAGAATGTTAGGGATTGGAAGGAAGTTTTCGATTTTGCGGTCGAAAATCCGGTTATTGCTCCGACACTGCGCGAACCGGACCGTTTGGAGCTGAGGGAGCTGTTCAATAAGTGGCCTCAGGGTACCCCTGAATTGAGGTTGATTATTGTTATTATGGGCTTTCTTTCGATTTGTTGTTGTTCTTTCTTGTTGTTGTTCTTTCGATTTATGGACTGATTCAAGATTGTAGCTTTTTCATAGAATTTGTTGCTTGTCAAATTTGATCCTCATAAAATTTATGGGCTGATTCAAGATTGTAGCTTTTAGAGATTATGGAAGAGTTAAGTCTGAAGTAATAGGAAAAGGAGTCAAAGCTATTACATTTGCAGAAAGTTTCCATTTTCTATCTTTGTTCAATTAGCTATAGTTTTTGGTTCCTTTCGGCTTTTTCTTACAGGGAAGCATGCGAATTGCACGCAATCGAGATGGAAAAACTAGCTTTCAAGCTACTTGGTCTGATAGCCTTGAGCTTGGGCTTGCCCGAGGACCGTTTTAACAGATTTTTCAAGGACCAAACGAGCCGCGTGAGGCTCAACCACTACCCGCCCTGCCCTTCTCCTCATCTAACTCTTGGCGTAGGCCGGCACAAGGACACGGGTGTCCTAACCATTCTTGCTCAGGATAATGTCCCAGGGCTTCAAGTGAAGAGGAAAACCGATGGAGAGTGGATTCTCGTAAAGCCTACTCCCGATGCTTACATCATCAATGTTGGTGATATAATCCAGGTAGTTAGCTAACTGAATTTTTACCCACATATCATAACAGAGGTTCTTCATGATTAGGGCTGCAAACGAGTCGAGTGTAGACCTTGTCGAGCGCAGATCGAACTTTTTTTTCTTCACTGCTCGCTCGAGCTCAACGAGCCATGTAAAATGCTGCTCGACTCGACTCGTGAAAAAAGTAAGAATGCTCGAGCTCGACTCGATGCTTGACACGGCTCGAGTTCGTCTCGAAATTGTAAGAGCTAAATTTTCAATATAAAGGTACTATTTTTATTTAAAATGACAATTTTGTGTGATCTAATATTGATAATTAAACTACATAGGGTATTTATGTAAATAAAAAGTCGAGCGGCTCGTCGAGCTTACGAGCCTCTTGAAATGATGGTCGAGGCTCGACTCGTTTGCTCGATTGAACTGCTCGAGCTCGAGTTTGACCGAGCTCGAGGGCGCTCGCGAGCAGCTCATGATTGCTTTAATAGGGTTTTTGTATATAGGTTTGGAGTAACGACAAGTATGAGAGCGTTGAACACAGGGCAGTGGTGAATTCGGACAAGGAGAGGCTTTCGATTCCTTATTTCTTGTATCCCGCGCATTACACGTGGGTGGAGCCCGTGAAGGAGCTTGTAGACGAGCAAAACCCGGCCAGGTTTAAAGGCTATAATTGGGGAAAGTTTCGGGCCACACGAAACTACGGTAATCTGAGGAAGCTTGATGTGGAGAATATTCAGATATCACATTTCAGGATATGAAGAGAGCTTATGTGAGTTTTGAGAGAGCTATGTGCTGTATATATAATAGGTTCTTAGTACAGATTTTAATGCCTACATTGACATGTTGTTTTGAATTGAATTATTCTGAAATTCGGATTTGCTATGGTACAACTTCATTGCCGTTTTTCTACAAATATGAAGTCTGTTAATTTTTTCTATGGAGATTAAACTACAGGGAGATACTAAGGTCCCGTTATAGAATCATTCTGTCAGGGTTTGTAACCGTTGAATCAACTATCTCCGATGATTATTGCTGATGATCTAACGGTTACAAATCCTGAAAAAATAGTTCTGTAACGGGACTGTAGCATTTCCCTAAACTACAAGATGAGGAATTGAAGCTGTTTTTGTATTTATTTATTTATTTTTATTTTTAAATAGAAGACTTCATCGCCCCCATTAAAAAAAACCAAGTCATTACAAAATAGAGAAGAAAATACAAATTGTATACAATATGACCACATAAAAAGTGCAAACTGAGTAATTGTCATTTTCTCAAAATGCGAAATAAATCGGTCTGGTGTAATTTCTAAATTGCTCTTGATATTTCTGAATATTTTGCAGTTTATCCATTTTTCAAATACAACCACAAACATAATACTCAACTTTGTTAACAAGCAAGGTCTCGGTTCGAGTCCTTGTGGATGCAAAAAATTCTTATTGGGAGATTCACCCACCACTGTCAGATGTGCGACTCGGTTCGACCAACGGATTAGTTGGGGCATATGGACTTTTAATATTTGCAAAAAGAAAAAAAAGTATATTTTTTAATTTTTAATTATAAATACAGTATATTAACTTTTACTCTGTTTACCAAACTATAAAACATGCCACCAAATTATAACATACTGTCAAGTAGGATACAACAGCCCAACAGCCCACTTGCGAGCCCATTATTTCAAAAGCCCACCAAATATTATTTGCTTCCATCGCCATAAATTTCTTTCCAAGAGCTGCAGCTTCTCCTTTCCTTCACTTGAATTAGGGCAATCGCACGCCGTGATACGCCGGAGAGATTCCTCCACAGACGACGTCGAAGATGCTTACGAGCGACATACTTCCAAACCAGACCATATACATCAAGAATCTGAACGAGAAAGTCAAGAAAGAAGGTTTTATCATACCCTTTTGCTTGTATATTACGACTTAGGGTTTGTACTCAGACTCTGTAATTTTTCTCGTTCAGTTGTGCGGCCATTGTCTTATTTGCTTTTGGTGGAGCCGGAATTTTTGATATTCTGGAATTTTAGCCTGCTCTGTAATGGGCGGCTGTTTGGCCGTGCATACTACGTTGTGTAGAAATCTCGTGCTTTCGGTTTCTGGTTATAGCTTATTTCAGCAGTGTTATGGTTGTCATGAGTGGAGTGAGCAAGCCAATGAATTGTGCAACAGTGTGGTAGTTTTAGTGGGCATTATTGTTATGTGAAAATCTTTATCTTTTTATTTTTTTGTTGGGTTTAACATGTCATTTTTGCTGAGTTTGTGCTCCGAGTTTCCAGTTCCATGGTTTGGTTTGTCATCAATAGGTAGGCTTAGCACATGAATATGGCAAAGCACCCAAGAATTAGTTTATAAAAGTGTACATTGGAAAAACTGATGACAGTCATCTTATGATTCAGATCAATCTCATTGTCTTTCATATGTTATTGCTTTGTTTACCTTGACTTTCGTAGTTCAGTACTAGCAAACGCAACTAATGTCAAGGAAAGAAATTTTAACTTTCATAAGGTTATGAATGCAGCTTTTGTTTGTTTTTGTCCCACGGTAACTGAATCTAGGATGACAACAATATGTAAAGTCCCCAACATATGTGTTTAAAATATTTGGTTATTTCAGCACTAGTGACCTATTTGCTTTTACTTTTGGGGAGTGTCATCTTTCTGGGAGAGTGCCGATGTATGCCAGGTGTCTCAAATTACTTTGGTTTCTTTTGTCCAACCATGTAATTTACTTACTTCAGCTGCAACTCATTAGCTGTGTTTGTTTGCTCTGAAATGATTGCAAGTTGTGTCCGCACATCAAATGTAAGTCAGCAACCTTACGAAAGATTTTAATAAATCAGAAATAACTAATTAATTTGCACGATCATTTTGCATAAGGACTTGGGTTATCTAAATTATTATAATTGCCTGTAATCAGTAACTCAAGGTTCAGAAATTCAATACTAATTTTGATGCTTACATGTTCTTAATAATTTGGACAGAGTTGAAGAGATCTCTTTATGCCTTGTTCTCGCAGTATGGAAGGATCTTGGACATTGTTGCGTTGAAAACTGCAAAGCTCCGTGGCCAGGCATGGGTTGTGTTCAGTGATGTGACAGCCGCAAGCCATGCAGTACGGCAGATGCAGAATTTCCCTTTTTATGACAAACCTATTGTGAGTACTTTTATGTTTATATCGGTTCTGTGTGATACTTTTATGCGCAAAAAATGTGTGCCAGTGGAGTTATTACGTTTACCTTTGGATCTTTCTACTCGTTCGAGGCTGTACCATTATTAATTTTTGGTCTTTACACTTTACACGTAATCGAGTGAGTAGTTCACCTCTTATCAGCCATCCATTATTGGCGTAGGTAATTATTTTGTTCTTATGGTGCCAGTTCTACTTGTTACTTATATATATGTGAAAAGTACTGGCTGCCTTTTCTTGTTATTCTTCCCAAAAGTACTGGTTGCGTCCTGAGTCTGGTACTATGTGAAAAGTAATGTGGTAGTACAATTGTCTGCATGCATGGAGTTTATTCCGTTAATTCAGGAGCTGCAGTACTTCAAATATGTAATTCAGTATAGTGTTAGCAGTCTCTATTCCTGGTAAAAAGAAATCATATGTTTCTCAAATGAATGAAAATTAAATAAAACAGAATCATAATATAATCCGTGCAGTACCATTTACAAACTGTTTTCTCCTTTTCGATATGTTACACATCTTGTTGTTGCTTAATATATTTTATTCGTATATTTATTCTGTTTATGTTTGCTTACGAGCCTAAAGCATCAAATCAATATGTTAAAAGTTGCTTTATTTGGTTAGACCTTCTAATCCGAAATACCATGCAGAGGATACAATATGCTAAATCACAATCAGACTGTATTGCTAAAGCAGAGGGTACATATGACAAGAAAAAGAAACAAGAGGAAAAAGGTAAATATTTTTTGTTGAGCCAGGTCTTCTCTTTCTCCGTTTGCAGACTCTTATAATAAAAACTGCATAAATTTGTTGTGAAGTGTTGTTTTTTTTATTCTTCATTCTTCTCTTCTCAAATGAGTTGCAGTGTGGTTATGCATTCGTTCCCCCGAGATAGAGGACCTATTCCTGATTTAATATTTTTCGCAGAAGTGACATGTGGATTATATGCATGTGTTTCATTTTCTTGTATGCTGTAGATTACCAAAAGTTCCATAAACTTCTTTAGCTATAGCTTAAGCATTTCATTTTTTGAATGGTATACCGACTTGGGCTGCACACTGATATCTTGCAACAATTTTTTCTTGGTTTATCCCAGCTGAGAGAAAGAAACGTGCTGAAGAAGGTCAGCAGACTGCCACAGCAAATGGTTCCAGAGCAGACACTAATGGAGGCCCATCTGTGAGTTTCTTTTTCTTTTCCCCCCACTTGGATTAATATTCTTTTACCTACCAAGTATATTTATTTTACTCATCTGCTCTGTGAGATGGTATTTTTGGGTTTATCCAACTTCTGATGCTGGCATGTCGTGAAAATAAGTAACAACATGTGTTTCTAGCTTTAGGGTGCACTTGTTTATAAAATAACTAGAGGTTTTTTTTCTGGTTTTTTGTGTTAACTAGAGTTTATTTGAAAAAAGTTAGTATGGTTAGTTGTTAGTAGGATTTTAAGAATGTATTAAAATAATATTTAAAATAAATTGATTAAAATTGATTTGATGTAAAAAGGTACTAAAGTATTGAGATAAATGATGGGAAATGATTGAAAACGAAAGGTAGTTAAAATTATGTGAGTGGATGAACGGTGAATTAAAGTTGATGTGATGTGTAATAATGATTGAATGATATTATTTAATTATATTGATAATATTGATGATAGTGGGTTTCAGTTAAAGTTGACTTAGATTTTGAATTGCGATAAATTGTTTTCTTGTTTTTTTCCTAGCTATTTTATAAACAAGCACACCCTTAATAGTTGGCACACATTTATTCCTATTTTCCCTTCCCAAGAAGTACTGTGGATTTGTTTAGCTAAATTAAAAATTAGACTTTGATTTTTTTCTTATCCCAAGTATGCGTGCTTTCTCTTGTATTATTGTTCGGACCCACACAAACGCAGCACACACAACACAAAACAACACAGATGCTTACTCAGACCAATATTTATGAACAGAATCTCGTAACAAATTGTTATTATTATATTATTATCTTAAAAATCCAACCTTGAGTTCATGCTTCTTCAAAGATTTTGTCTGATGATGATTACAGGCTGCTCCTCGACCAGGGAAACCGGGTACACAAGAAGTGGTCACAGAGCCCAATAACATTCTCTTTGTGCAAAATCTACCGCCTGAAACAAATAGCCACACTCTAGAAGAGGCTTTCAAAAAGTTTGAAGGCTACAGAGAAATTCGTATGATCGAAGCAAAGCCGGGTATTGCCTTTGTAGAATATGAAAACGACTCCTGGGCCTTGGCTGCCATGGAGAGCCTTCAGGGCTTTAATATCGCTCCCCAGTATCCAATGTTCATTACGTATGCTAAAAAATAAAAAAAAAATCAGAGTTTTATATTTTTGGCACAGTACTCGATTTCTATTCCTGGTATTTGCTCCAATACTGTTTGTGTAATTGTACGAGTGAATTCAAGGTACTCTAGATGCAGCCTGATCCTTTGTTCTATTCGTTAACTGTTAACTTGGGCGATGCAGTTTTGCTTTGGAATTTATAAATGTGCCTTTTGGGTGTTGCTTCGTATGCTTTATTTTATCGTTGCTTAAAAGCTGCTTTGGATTTCAATCAAGCTTGGATAAATATGTTTGAGTTCGGTTTGATGATTAACGTTGTCGATCTCTAGCTGAGCCAAAAAGGTTGGAGCTCGAGTATCGTCATGTTAGAAAGAACAAGTGCGACAAGTTGACTAGTTTAACGGTTAGGTTGTTTCATATAATTTGTAATTTTTTTAAAGCTTAGAGAAAGTTTATAGATATGTGTTGATGTAATATAAAAATAGAAAAATAATAAGTGTACAAATTAGTAGTTAAAAAGATATAATTTGTCATTCAAACCTTCAAAAATAACACAAAAATATGTTAAATCAATGTAAATGGGCGTAATGTATAGTATTTTTGTTTTGAATGTCTTTATGTTTTTTTGGTACAGGGACCTTCCGGTATCTGGATTCACAGAGGAACCGACTAATTCGGAACCGAGTCGAGTAGGACCACAAGGGCGGCAAAGCTCTCCCTCAAGAGTTTTTAACACTACTGCATTTCCAGGACTCGAACACGAGACCACTGGTTAAGCTGGAAGAGACCCAAGTCATCTCATCCAAGAGTTTTTAACACTGCTGAATGGCTTTATGTTAAGTCAATGTAAATGACATTTAAAACAACACAAAAATATGTGACGGGTCTTCATGTTATTTTTATTTTACTTTTTAATGAATCGGGTCAGTCTGGAATCGGTGGATTAGCGAACCGGCTCAAAACCGCCGGTTCGCCGAATCGGTCCGTGCATTTGTTCGGGCCGACCAACTCTCGGCTCGGGACCTGGCGGTTCTGACCCAAAACCGAGCCCAAAACCGGATTTGGCAATGTCTATTATAAAATAAATAAATAAAATCATTTGAATTTACCCGTTATAGCTGCCAAACAATGCGCGAAAAGAAGACGAAATTCGGTCGTCCCGCTAATTCCTCTGCTCCATGGCTTCCCCTTTCCTTGAACGTCCATGCCCGCACTTCAACCAAGCTCTCAACCCTTCTTCACTTTTTTTCTTTCTTTTTATCTTTTTTTTTTCTCATTTTTTTGGCTTTTCCTTTTCCTCTTTCGGATCAAAGGTTTTTCCTTCTGCCATAATCCGATTTTTGACCTAATTTATTCCCGCCGTCGTATGCGAGGATGAGCGGATCTTCGATCCAGGCGGGGACGATATGCTTCGAGCAGGAACAGCAAACCCGGTGGAGCAGAGGAGTATTCTTCGGCGAGAGCCCTTTCTCCTCCACCACCCCTCTCCTGCTCGGCCAGGCCTCTCTCTGCGCCCTCACCGCCGCCGTCTTGAACCGCTTCCTTGCCCCCCTCGGCCAGAGCGCTTTCATTTCCCAGATACTCGTGAGTTGCGAAATTCCCTTTTTTTCTTTTTTTTGTTGGGGTGATCTATTTTTTGAGATGTGTGCTTATTTTAGTTGTCCTAGGTTGGTGGGTTTCATGCACAGAAGGTGTTTGTGTAAATGTTTCAATGGGTAGGGCAATAGAGTAGTAACAAGAGCTGGGATCAGGAGGATACATGCAGTTGGTTCTTATATTATCTTTACACCATAGAAGTAAACAAGTTGCTGCTTTGAATGTAAAATGCAGCAAAATTTAATTTAAATTAACTGAGAGTTCCTAACAGCTTCTTGCTTTTGGTGATTATAACCAGGCCGGGGTACTATTGGGACCAACTTTTTTCGGGAGCAACCCAGCACTCAGAGAGCTTTTCCCGGTCTCAAGCTTCTACATAGTCGACACATTCGCCTACTTCGGCGTGATGTTTTTCCTATTTATCATTGGCGTGAAAACCGACTTGAGCCTCGTACAGAAGTCGGGAAAAAAAGCAGTTGCTATTGGTGTCTGCACATTTGTTGTGCCCTTATTGCTCAACTCCATGGTTGGCAAGCTCATATCAAATTCTGTGCCCATGGAGCCTAGTCTTCACAGATCGATCGTATGGGTTGCGTCATTTCAGGCTGTGACCTCGTTCCACGTCATTGTTTGCCTGCTAGCCGACCTCAAGCTAATGAACTCTGACCTCGGACGGCTGGCCATACCCTCGTCCATGATCGGCAGCCTCTGCAGCTTGTTCTGGACGGTCGTTGTCTTCACTGGAAAGCAGAGCGTGCATGGAAAAGAGCACACGCCTGCACTGTTGCTCACATTTCTGGCAATTTTGGTTCTTTTTTCAGTGTGCATTTTCCGCCCCATAGTTCGGGGGATTGCCAAGAGCTGCAGCTCGAAATCCGTCGGGGAGAACCACGTGATCATCATTTTCATCCTTGTGTTGGGGTCCGCGATTTACGGCGAGTATTTCGGGCAGCATTTTATATTGGGGCCAATTATTATGGGCATGGTGATACCCGATGGGCCTCCTTTAGGTTCGGCATTGGTCGACAAGCTCGAGCTGTTCATTTCCTCCATCGTTTTGCCTATTTTTTTCGTCGTTAGTACTGCAAGAATCGATTTCTCATCGATATCATTCAGGAGCTTCGCAATAGTCGAGTGCCTTGCACTTTTCTCGTTACTCTGGAAAATAGCCGGAGTCATGCTGACGTTACTGTTTTGGAAAATGCCGATGAGAGATGCAGCCTACCTCGCCATAATACTGAGCAACCAAGGCATCGTGGAAGTTCTCATGTTGGAACGTGCGAAATCTATAGACGTAAGCTCTCTTCTAAACATATCCATTCATTAAACTAGTTGAAAACCAAATAAAAATCCCATCATTTTTCTTATTATTATTATTCTCCCCCTTCCCTCTCCAAATTATGCAGCTGATAGACGGAGAATCGTACAGCATCATGGTCCTGTCGATCTCCATCTTCACAGGAATCCTAGCCCCGATCGTGAAGTTCTCTTACAAACCGTCTAAACATTACGCTATCGGGGATTGGATGACCATCCAGCACGCAGACCCCACCATTGAGCTCCGTATTCTCGCGTGCCTTTACTACTCGGACCACACCCCAGCCATCATCAACCTCTTCGAGGCTTCGTACCCTCACCCTCAGGCACCTATCTGCTTCTACGTGGTCCACCTGGTCGAGCTCGCAGGCCGTAGCGCCCCGGACCTCGTGGCCCACCACCCAGGAGCCACCTCCCGCGGCCACCTGTTCTCTTCCGGCGAGTCGGACCACATCATCAACGCCCTCCGGTTTTTTGAGCACGAGAATCGAGGCCACGCGACCGTCTACCCTTTCACCTCCATCTCCCCCTTCGCCTCCATGCACCACGACGTATGCCACCTGGCGGCCGACCGCCGAGCCTCCCTCATCATCGTCCTTTTCCACCGCCACCCGTTGGTCCACGTCTCGGACGAGGAGGCCGGATCCCTCCGAGCCGTGAACCAGAACATAATCCGCGAGTCCCCCTGCTCGGTCGGGATCCTCGTCGACCGAGGGGCCAGCGGCGGCACGGCACTTCGTGGGCCCGAGTTGTTTCGAGTCGGGGTCCTTTTTATTGGAGGAGCAGATGATAGGGAAGCCCTGTCTTATGCGAGACGGATGGCTAAACACCCGAACATCCACCTCACGCTCGTTCGGTTCGTGGCAAACGGATCGTACGAGTGCCGGCCGGACGAGGAGTTGGTGGGGAAGTTCCAGGACGGGGTGGAGCAGATGCAGGTGCAGAGCAGGCGGTGGTTCTACCGAGAGGAGGAGGTGGGGGATAGTATGGGGGTTGTAGGGGTGGTTCGGGGGATGAAGGGGTGTTTCGACTTGATGGTGGTCGGGAGGCGGCACGGGGAGGAGTCGGCTCTGCTGGCAGGGCTGCGAGGATGGAACGAGTATCCGGAGCTTGGGGTGGTAGGGGACATGTTGTACTCTGTTAACGGCAACAGCAAAGTTTCGTTACTGGTGGTGCAGCAGGCTTTGTCGGGAGAGGAGAGTATAAGGTTAGGAGGTATGAGTATGAGTGTTAGGGAAGGAGGGATGAGTATCGGTCGGGAGGAGCCTGCGGAGGCGGAGGCGGTGATGGATATGCCGACGCGGTTGAGCGATAGGAGAGTGTGGCCGGCGCCGACGGGGAATCAGTTAGTGTAGGGGTTTTAGTGTGTAGGAGAATCAGATAGTGTAGGTGTTGTGTGTATATGTTTGTTGAAATTGTGGGGTTGTGGTTTGTGTACACCATGACTGGAATTTGAGGTTTGTATGTAATGTTAGGGATGGGTTTCACGAGAATTTGTGACGACGGGTCTGACACGTTATATTATTTGAAAAAAAAAAATACGTAAGGCATACATATTTGAACAAGAAGTGGGGGTTGCAGTTTGTACCGTGATTGGATTTGTGGTTTGTATGTGATGTTAGTGATATGTTTCACAAGAATTGGTGTCACACCATTCATGTGGTTTGTATGTAATGTTAGGGATTAGTTTCATAAGAACTGGTGACACAGTTGAACTAATTAGGCGTATCGACTAGTCATATTATTTGAACAAAAATACATATAAGGATATACATATATGAAGAAGAATTGGAATTGTAGTTTGTACCACGATTGGATTTTGTGGTTTGTATGTAATGTTAGGGATAGGCTATGTGTATTGCATTTCTATGTCATTTTCGTTCTCGTTTGGACTTCAGTTGCCGTGGTTTCAGTCTATTGAACTTTTTTTTTTTTTTTTTTTTTTCCTAAACGATGAAATTCATAACTAAAGGAAACAAAGGAAACAGAGTACAAAGTTACAGACAACTGCTACCAAACTAAAGAACACAGAAATACACAAACTAAGAAATGAGAACCAAACCAGGTTGGCCTAGAAAGGAATAAGGGACTAGAGTAACATCCATTGGGAAGTATACAATACTGGGACCCTGGGATATACATTCTAGCAACTGAGAATATAACTCCTAGGCAGAAGAAAAACAGAGATAACTAAGAAAGAGAGGAGAATTCCATCCATTCTAAGCAAGCAGTATCTACAATTGCCTTCTCAGATTGCAATTGTTGTTTGAAGACCCATAAGTTCCTCGTCTTCCATAACCACCATAAGATATATGTGGTTAATTGGATCATACCCTTGGCAGCCTTGTTCATGTGCATCAAACAAACCTCTTTCCACCAATCCTTGAATGAGAGAATGTCTTTTTGTAGGCTGTTTCAGTTCGCTGGGGCTAGCTTCCAAATCTTTCTTGCTCTAGAGCAGTTGAAAAGCAGATGCTCTGTGGTCTCTACCATTTCTCCACAAGCTTTGCATGTATTGTCCAACTTCAGCCCTCTCTTGTTCAAGTTGTGTTGTGAGGGTAGGATCCCAGAGAAGCACTTCCAAATGAAGTGCTTAATTTCCTCTTTATCTTGAGTTTCCAGCTGAGGCATCTAACTTTTTTGATCCAAGAAGCCTGGTTGCTAGTTTCAGGGATATCCAGGCCAAGTATATTGCTATTCAGGAGAGCTTCATAAGTGGAGGCCACAGTGAAGTTCCCTTTTCTGTTGAAGCACCATGATAGCCTGTCTTCCTGATTTCTGTTTAAGGTACAGATCTTTAGAATGGCATCACACTCTGTTGAGCTGAAAGTTTGTCTGAGGAGACCTTCATTCCATATCTCAGTGTTAGGGATCATAAGCTCAGCTACCCATGTGAGGCTTCTGTCAGCTGAGAGCTCTCTTCCTTTAGGCAAGTGTATAGGGGTGTCTGGGATCCAGGGGTGGTCCCAGATCTTAGTGCTCCTGCCACCAAGAGTCCCTGTTTAAAAGTAGAACATACAGTCATCCAGCTTCTCCAAAGCCATGAGCAACTCTGAGGTGGGACAATGTCAAGAAAGGAGCAGTTTGGGAAATATTTCTGCTTCAGTATTCTGCTCATGAGCAAATGTGGCTTAGTGTACACTCTCCACAGTTGTTTGATAATCAGAGCTTGGTTGAACAACTTCAGGTCAGTGAAGCCCAAACCTCTTTTGTCTGTAAGCAGAGCTAAATGATTCCATTGCTTCCAGTGTAGCCCTTTTTCTTGATTTCCTCCTTTAGACCACCAGAAGTTTGACATCAGTTTTCAGATTTCAGAACAGACTCCAGATGGTAATAAGAAGCATGACATTACAAAGTTGGGCAAGGCACTCAGCACAGCCTTTATAAGGACTTCCTTACCCGCAGAGGATAGGAACCTGCTTTTCTAGCTTAAAATCCTGTTTTTCACCACTTCCACAATAATGTTAAATGTTTCTTTTTTAGAGCGGCCAATACCCAAGGGGAGCAAGGTATTTGCTAGAGGAAGTGATTTGGATACCATTTAGAAGGGAACAGATGGTAGCTTTGACAGAGGGAGGGGTGTTTCTGCTAAAGAACACAGAGGACTTGGAGAGGTTTATCTTTTGGCCATAGCAGAGGTGGTAAATATTGAGAATGTGCAAAATCTCCAATGTGTGAGAGGCAGAGGCTTGGCTGAAAAGAATAGTGTCATCCGCGAAGGGGAGATGGGATATGGGGGGCCAGCTTGTGAAACTTTAATGCCTGTTAAGGAGCCTTGGGCAACAGATTTGTTTAAGAGGCAAGAGAAAAGCTCAGAGACAATAATGAAGAGGTATGGAGAGATTGGGTCTCCCTGTCTCAAACCCCTGGTAGGGGAAACATGCCCACACTTCTGGCCATTGATGTTGAAAGAGAAGCTAGTTGAGGAAATGCAAGCCAATATCCAGTTAATAAAAGTCCAGTGGAAGCCCATTTTAATCATAACAATTTTAATGCATGGCCATTCCACTCTATCAAACGCTTTTTCCATATCTAACTTAAGAGCCATATAGAATTTATTGCCTAAGTTATGCCTGTTTAGGAAGTGAATGGCTTCTTGAGCAATAACGACATTATCTAAAAGCTGTCTATCTGGGATGAAAGCTGCTTGGTTCTCGCTAATACAAATAGAGAGGAAATTTTTAAGCCGAGAAGCAAGAATCTTAGAAATAATTTTATAAGCAACACAACATAAGCTTATGGGTCTAAAGTGCTCCACTTTAGAAGGATTTTGGATTTTGGGGACAAGGGTTGTGAATGTATGATTCCAGGATTTAGAAATAAAGCCAGAGTTGAAGAAACTGAATATAGCATTGCAAAGTCAGTTTTAATGATGTGCCAAAATTTCTAGAAAAATGAAGGAGACATACCATCATGGCCGGGAGCTTTGTTTGGATTCATACTGTCTAGGATTCTCTTGATTTCCTCTTCACCACCTTTGCTAGCAGGCTGGAGTTCATGGAGTCTGTGATGGTCGCTTGAATACAGTCAAACAGAGGGTCTTCAAGAGTAGGCACTGAACCCTCATAAATGAAGAGTTGCTTATAGAAGGATGAGATGCAGTCTTCAATCTCAACTAATGAATCGCAGATACGCCCATCTCCCCTAACTAGCATGCTGATTGCATTTGTCTTCCTTCTCTGAGTTGTATAAGCATGAAAAAAAGCGGGTATTCTTATCTTCTTCTTTAAGCCACTGCACTCTCGATTTATGTCTCCAATAAGCTTCCTCTGATTTGTTGATGGTGTTAATGGTTTGTTTCAGCTTGTTCCACTGTGTCCAATCTCTGCTATTTCCTTCTCTGGTTGCTTCCACTGTGTCTATTGAACTTTTCATAAATATTTTTTTGTGTGAAATCTGTTAGGTGGGTTGACCCGTCATATTATTTGAATAAAAATGATATTTATACTATTAAACTAAGCAATTTATATAAAGAGTATGTTGGTCTAACGGTTGGGAAGAGATAAAAATATAAAGAGTATGTCGGTGTAATGGTCAAACTAGAGCTTGAATCGATCTCGAGCACTTCAATCGAGCAAACGAGTCGAGCCTCAGCATCATTTCAGGAGGCTCGTAAGCTCGACGAGTCGGTTTACTTTTATCTATATATATATAATTGCTAGCATGTAGCATTTAATAAAACATTTAATAAAACCTCTAAAATTTTCCCTCCATTTTCGGTTACAAAATTTGACATTAATATTTTTTACTTCTTCATTAATACATCTTAATGAGTGTAATCATGTATGTTTATGTTATATTATATAATAGTTATTGTTAATACCAACTAATAATAATTCACAATAAATATAAATTACATAATTATAAACAATTGTCAAGTTATGTATTTTAACATCAATATTTTTTTTTTGTATCTCATAAAAATATTTCTTTAAAAACAATTAGTAAATCTATATATATATAATTACTAGCCAATAGCATTTAATAAAACCTAATTAATTTTACCTATGTGGCAATTTAATATTTTTCCCTCCAAAAATCGTTACTTTTTTATGTATTTAATCTTTTATTTAATTATTAAATAATCAATACTAATCACTTCAAAATTACAAAAATTATTTTAAACTCTTTATTAGTGACAGTTGACCATATAATGTTTTGATCATACAATGTGATTAGATGTTATTATTGTGGTTACATTTAAATTAATTTTTTTAAAAAAAATTAAAAACGTATTTGAAATTCCTAAATAAATTATAAATAATTCAAAAAAAAGACGTACCAAAATATACATTACGTCCAATCAGATAAACGCAATTTTTAAAAAAAATAAATAAATATTCCAACTTTTCTATTTGTAAATGTTGGCATACAAAAAAGTGAAAGAAAAATAATTAATCATGCATACAGATAACTCACAATATTTCACAATACTTTATTTACATCTGTGCAAATGCACAGGGTCGAATACTAGTTTACATAAATACCCTGTATAGTTTAATTATCAATAATAGAACACCAAGGCCAAAGTTCTTAATTTAGACTAAAAACAATACATTTATATTTAAAATTTAGGTGTTAAAACTTAAAATTGCTAGTTGAACTCGAGTCATGTCAAGAATTGAGCATTCTTATTCTTTTCACGAATATAGAGTCGAGCGACATTTTAAATAGCTCATCTAACAGTAAACAAAAAAATCGATCTGCATTCGACAAGGTTCATGCTCAATCCGACTCTACTCATTTGCAGCCTTACACCTAGCACTTAGGTTGTCCCTCACAAATTATCCTTTTTTTTTTTTTTTCTAAAACATCTAATTAACATCTCCAACACGCCGTTTAATGTTTATATAAC